CGTCGGGGCCAACCGACACCCCCACCCCCCCAGCACTGCTCCTCCTGACCCGGTCCTCAGGGGAGGAGGGGAGTGGGACTCCGCCCCCAACTCCTGGGCACCGCGGTCTGCCCGCCTTGCCTGTGAGGCCTATTCTAGGCTCAGAACCCGGCTGGAAAGCTGTGCTCCCGGTCCCCAAACTCCCAGCTGGGATGGTACCGAGCTGCTTGCCAAAAGACAAGCCCCTGGATTTTGACTCAGGAAGCCAGACTGGGAGACTCAGCCCAGGACGCTAAATACCTGACTCACCACAGCTTCCCCATGACGCACCCAGGCCAGACATCAGTGACCGGGGGTCCTGCACCGTCGCCTCCATACAGTTCCCCAAGCGGAAACTAGCGATCAGAGTTGGCACCAGATAGGCTAAACCTCCCGCCACCCCATCAAAATCAAGTCATCCCCTGGCTGGCTTCGCTCAGTGGATAGAGCATTGGCCTGCGGACTGAAGGGTCCCGGGTTCGACTCCGGTCCAGGGCACATGCTCGGGTTTCGGGCTCAATCCCCAGTAGGGGGCGTGCCGGAGGCAGCCGATCAGTGAGGCTCTCACCATTGATGTTTCTATCTCCCTCTCCCTCTCCCTTCCTCTCTGAAATCAATAAAAAATATATTTTTAAAAAAGAAAAGAATCAAGGCAGTCAGTAATTTCAAGATGGGGAAGTAAGCTCGGGCAAGAAAAGGCCTGTCCACGCTGGGCGGCCGGGGCGGGAGGGGCGGCCAGGGCGGGAGGGGGCCTCCCATACCCAGGCAGCACCCTCTGCCCCAGTTGTAAGCATCCTGTCCCTCCAATGACTGAGTCTCTTTATAACCACGGATCTGTGCAACAGCGTAGCCAGAGATGCGACCGTAGTATTTTTTTTCCTGGTAGTTAAAGGCAGACACAAACCCACATGACCAAGCATGGAGGAATGGTTCATCAGCGTGGGGTGCATTTACACGCAGCAATGATGTCGCACAAGAATATTTAATGGTGCAGAACGATGTTCGCAAACTACTGCTAACTGAAAAGGGAGCTTCGGAGACTTCATATAACATCTACTGATGGTAACAGCTGGCACATGATGTTTACTCTGCCCGGCTGCTCTCAACTAACTCACGGTGTCTTCCCAGCAGCCCACGAGCTATGCACTGTCCTTATCCTCAGCCTCAGAGAGGCTGAGTCACTTGTCCTGGGTCGCACAGCATGCAAGTTACGGAGCCAGAATCCTGACCCAGGCCTGCCTGCCCCTGAAGCTCCCCCTTACAGTCCCCTCAGCCCCCTACCCCCCAGTGCCAGGCATCATTTTGGGCACCGAGTTGGCACCTTCTTTTGCACTCGACCCACAGGCCCACCGATTTCAGCCCCAGGCCACCGCCCTGCTCTCAGCCACAGCCCGCGGTCCCCCGCCAGCGCCCACCTCGATCTTGCTGTTGTACACCAGGATCTCCAGCACCGAGGCCTCTTCCCCACACGTGTCCAGGGAGGACAGGTCGTAGAGCGAGGAATACACGGGCCCGTAGGCCCAGTCCTTGAACTTGCGGGACAGGTGTCTGGTGTCCTCATCCGTCACCTCCCGCCGGATGATGTGCTGAAAGATCTGAGCAGGAGAAGGAGAGTCAGGGGCCGCCAGGAGGGGCCCTCCTGGGAGGACCCGGGCTGGGCACAGCCCATCAGACGGCTCTCCCCGGAGAGCAGGACTGGGAGGGGAAGTATTCACAGAGCACGCGCTCTGTGCCGGCTCCTTTCCTCACAGCATCTTGTCTAGTTCTTACCCTTACTGTCTTGGCTTACCGATGAGCAAGCGAGACTCGGCGAAGAGAAGGGTGTCCTGAGGCTACACCAGCCCAGCGGAAGCCAGACTGAACCCAGGCCAGCCTCAACGACCTGACTGTAGTGAATGTCATCTTTGTGCAATTACAACAGCAATTCATGAACCCTGTTACTCTGTTAATTCTATAATACTTACCCTACAAGCCCTTCCTGTTACCAGTCCTACTCTCATTGGCTTTCCCACAGGGAAACTGAGGAACAGAGAGGGTGGAGTCGCCCGAGGCCTGCAGTGTAGTGGGACGGAGCCAGAATCTCAGCCCAGGCTCTGCGGTGAACTGCCCCTGTATAATAGCTGCTATATTTTCAATAGAGTAATAACCGCCCTGCTCTTTACTGAGCACTTACTACGCATCCCAGGCTCTGTTCCAAGGGCTTTCAGTGGATCCCCTCATCTAGCTGACAGAACAACACCCCGCCACAAGGCACTGTTACTACCCCACGTACAGATAAGGAAACGAAGGCACAGAGCGGAGGGTAGACGCCTGAGGAATGTGGCCAAGCCAGGCCTGGGGCCCAGCCCCTCCTGACTGCTGAGTCCTCCAGGTTTGCCTCTCCCGGGCGCAGTGTCCCCAGGGCGCAGTGTCCCCAGGGCGCAGTGTCCCCCGGGCACAGTGTCCCCCGGGCACAGTGTGGCAATGTCTGCAGACCCCTGTGCTGTCACAGTGGTGGAGGCTGCTGCTGGCATCCGCAGGCTAAGGCCAGGGATGCAGCTCACATCCCTGAATCCTACATGCCCAGGACAGCCCCACCCCCTGGGCCACGCAGCCCAAATGGCAGCAGTGCCGGGGCCGCCTCCTGCTCCAGGCCCTGCGCTGGAGGCCCAGGGGGAGGGATGGACCACCCAGCAGCTCCGGCCGAGCCAGGACCCAGCGATGGGGTCGGCAGCGCTGGAGCCCGGGACTCAGGTTTCTCTCAGTGGCTGGCTC